ATTTAATATAGTACTGGATGTACTAGCCAGAGCAATTAGCCAAGAGAGAGAAATAAATGGGGTAAAGATAGGAAAAGAAGAATTTAAATTATCATTGTTTGCAGATGACATGATACTCTACATAGAAGACCCCCTAAACTCCATTGAAAGACTATTAGATACAATAAATGAATTCAGTAATGTGGATGGATACAAAATCAATACTCAGAAATCAATAGCATTCCTATACACGAATAACAAAATCACAGAGAGGGAAATAAGAGAAAATACACTCTTTACATTAGCAAGCAAAAAAATGAAATATGTAGGAATTACTCTTACAAAAGAAGTGAAAGACTTATACAATGAAAATTATAATACACTGAAAAAAGAAATTGAAGATGATCTCAGAAAATGGAAAGGCATCCCTTGTTCATGGATAGGAAGAACAAACATTGTGAAAATGGCCATTCTCTCAAAACTGTTATACAGATTCAATGGAATCTCAATGAAAATACCATCAACATACCTTATAGATCTAGAGAAATCACTCCTAAATTTCATCTGGAACCAGAAGAGACCTACAATAGCAAAGGCAATTCTAAGCAGCAAACACAAAGCAGGAGGCATCACAATCCCTGACTTGAAGTTGTACTACAAAGCAACAGTAGTAAAATCAACATGGTATTGGAATCAAAACAGAGCCGAAGATCAATGGAATAGATTAGAAGATACAACCACAACTACAAACACACTCAACCACCTTATCTTTGATAAAGGAGCCAAGCAGGTTCACTGGAGGAACGATAGTCTCTTTAATAAATGGTGCTGGAAAAACTGGCTCTCCATTTGCTGAAAACTAAAGCTAGACCCATGTCTATCACCATGTACTGAATTAAAATCTAAATGGGTCAAAGATCTGAATATTAAAACAGAAACACTAAATCTATTTGAACACAAATTGGGTAGAAACATTGAAGACATAGGAGTAGGTAGAGAATTCATGAACAGGACTCAAGCCGCACGGGAAATACTTCCCAGAATCAATAACTGGGACCACTTCTTATTAAAAAGTTTCTGCATGTCAAAACAAATCTCCAGCATGGTAAAAAGAAAACCCACAAACTGGGAAAAGATTTTATTGAACTCTCTCTCAGACAAGAGACTCTTGTCTAAAACATATAAGGAATTTAAAAAACTCAGACCCCCTAAATTCAAAGATCCAATCCAAAAATGGGCATCTGAGATGAATACGCACTTCTCAGATGAAGAAATGCAAATGGCAAATAAATACATGAAAAAATGTTCATCATCATTAGTCATTAGAGAAATGCAAATTAAAACCACACTGAGATACCATCTCACTCCTGAAAGAATGGCCAGGATCAAGAAAACCAACAACAACAAATGCTGGAGAGGCTGTGGGGAAAAAGGAACTGTCCTACACTGTTGGTGGGAGTGTAGACTGGTGCAGCCTTTGTGGAGATCAGTCTGGAGATTTCTCAAAAAGCTGGGATTGGAAGCCATTTATTCCAGCTATTCCACTTCTAGGCATATTCCCAGAAGAACTGAAAGTATCATACCACAGTGATATATGTGCACCTATGTTTATAGCAGCCAGATCTTGGAAACAACCCAAGTGTCCATCAACTGAGGAATGGATAAAAAAGTTATGGTATTTCTATACAATGGAGTATTATTCAGCTATGAAGAAGGATCACATTGAGATATTTATCAATAAATGGGCGCAGCTTGAGACCATACTCATAAGTGAAATAAATCAATCTCGTATGTGTGAATACCGAATAGTTTCCCTAATGTAAGTAATGATTCAAATATATAAAAATATGTGGTAATCATGATTCCCCATTATGTGGCCTTGAAGCCTTATAAAGTTTTCACTTATTAATTAGAAAGGCTTTATTCTGGGCTTCTTGATATGGAAATATTTGAAGCTATAGTATATGAAGTTTTATCCAAATATTTCAAGGAAAAAGACAGACACTATGGTAACTACTATTAAGTCGGGTTATTTGGTGGTGAGGCACTAGGTTGCTGAAACAGTCATGCTTTGACCTCTATTGTTATATTGTTATGTCCTGTTTTATCTCAAGCTCTCCCTTATTCTTTAAAAAAAATTTTAGTTATTTCTTATGTTTGTTTTAATTAAGGGGAAAAATTTTAAAAAATTAGGATATATAATAGTAACTTTTTGATTTCCTATTAACTTGTTTTGAAGTCCTGTAATACTCCCACGATCTTGTTTTGACTGATTAGACTCTGTTCCATTCTGTATGATAGTATCAAGTTTGAGGGTATAGGCAACTACTTTGAAGGCAATAAGATTCACTAGGATGCCCATTCTGGTTTGACTATTGTCTCCTTTGGAAGTCCTGTAATGTTTACAATGCCTAAGTTTTATTGGTCTTGTTCTCTACTGTTTTATCCAACTTTATAATATCTAATGAGATAGACAATTCTTTTTAAGGAAACAAGAGACAACGTTGATAACCATTGTTGATAACCTTGTACTCTGTTCTACATCATGTGCTATGTCTATCCTTGGTTTTGACTGACAGCTTTGTTTTGCCATATTTGACTTTATTCTCTCCCCCCACAAAAAGTAATAACTAAGGAGTAATAAAATCCAAAATGTGTAAATTTTGTTGTAAAAAAGAGAGGGGAAAAAAAAGAGCTCTAACGGATATAACAGCAAGTGTGTTTGGGGGTGTTAAATGGCTGACTATATTAATGTTTTTGGATCATTGAACGCAGCTGTTTGCAGTCTCTCTGTTTGAATGTCCACTTTGTATTCTTTGATACTGTGATTTGAGCAACTATTTCCAAGATGATAATATGTAATCTATTAACAGGTGATTTCTTACTGTTATGGTTTTTTTTTTTTTTTTGTAGTTCTGTATTACGTGTACCCTTACACTGCTTTGTTTTTTGTGTTTTTCTCTTTTTTTCTCTTAAATAAAATTTTTTTTAAAAAGCCAATTAGTAAAATTTAAATCCTGCTCATAGCCTCTTCATAGTGGTCTCCAACAGAACACCTTCAAAACAAAGAAATTAATCCAACTGAACAATAGAACTGGATAATTTTGAATGGATCCCTACAGTGAAAGCAAACCCTAAGCATATTCTTTCAGGGTAATTGCTAGCACAGGTGCTGTTAAAATGTTTATTCTTCATCTAAACTTTTTTTCCTCAGTTTTAATAAAGGCATTTACCACCCATTTCCATGTCAAACTTCCATACAGATAGCAACATAGGTATATTTGAACACTGGTTCTGTGGCTGGTATAGAATTATTAGATACATGATTAGAGAAGGAGTTTAGAAACCGGAAAAATCTTGAAGCAGAGTAATTTATATTCTTTACTAAGACAGATAGTGTTGTTTGGTATATCAGAAAAGAAGACTTCCATAAAGAGTTGAAAAAAATGGTTTGTTGACAAAGAGGTTTCTCTATGCTGTACTGGTTAAATGATATTTCCCAAAAAAGTTCTTTAAAACAAGTATTACTATGGCTTCCAGGCTTTAGATAAAAACTGCTATATTGAAATTTGCAAATTTATTATTGTTTTATTGAAATGTACAAATTTATTAGTGGAAAATACAGATATAACTTATTAAGTAAATCTTTCATTTTTACTCTGGTGAGCAATTTCCTGCTACAGTGTTAATGCTAGTTACTGAGAAGGTGGAAGACACTGTCTCATGTATTTACTATCACCAGAGGGAAAATGTAGAGGGCCAGCGAAAAGCAACTCATCAAAGTGTAAGCATCTTGGACTGAGAATAAGGGGAACTCGGGTGTAATACCTCATCTTCCATTATCTCATTACACAATTGTGGTCTATATATCAATAGAATGAGGGAGTGGACTACAAAAATCTTTAAGTTTCTTTGAACTTTTAACATACATGATTTCAAATTTTGTTAGAAATATAAGCATGAATATATTGGTCTCATAGTAATGCACAACAAATCACCTTAAAAGTTAGAGGCCTAAAAAAAGCAACTTATACTGAGACTTAAGAACTCTCAGTAATGATTAAAAAAATAGTTCTGATTTCCAGACAGATGTAAATTCAAAGTGATATCCCACCAGTATTTAGTGATCATGGGAAAGTTAGGTACCCTTTGAGAACCTCAGGATCCTTACTTAATGTGAACTCACACCTATCTTGAAAACATCACTGAGTACAAGTTTCTCTCATTCTCAGTGACCTCCTCTTCTTTGACTTTTCTAAACTTTGCATTGGTCTTGATTTTGACACAATGATTTTAGGAATTATGAACAAAGCACTTCACCTCAATGCACAAGTTTTCTCATTTATAAAGCATCATTTTTGTTGTAAATGCTTTACAAGCTGATTTTGAGACTATTAAAATACTTGGTGTCAGTGGCTTTGCACACTTATAAAGTCCTGGCTAGGAATTTTTCTATCCCTTAATTATCAATATATTGAAAACTACTTATTTCTGATTCTAAAAGCGATACCTGCTTTACATACAATTTAGAAAATCCTTTTATTTATGTACACACATCCATAATTGAGGTAAAAATAACCAATCGATTTTAGTATAATCAAACTTTTTGAAAAGCAAACTTTTTTAAAAGCAAAACTTTTAAAAAAGCAATTATGATGGATAATTTTAATGTTATACCAAAGCCTAAGTCTTGTGAACTCTCACTCATTTCCTGACTTTATTGCACCTAAATCTGGACTCCCATTTCTAATTATTTTAAAGTAAATTCCCATACATATTATCTTTACACATGTATCTTCAGAACACAAAGATTTTTGAAAACAATTACAATACTGCTACATGTTTTAAAAGCAACCGTAATTTCTTACTAATATCTAATATCCAGTGTCCAAATATTTTGGCTAGTCGCATTGTTTATATTCACGAGTTGAGCCTTTTGCCATGTTAGGACACTGCTTTCCCCACTGTTGGGTATTTCTCCCTCGTCTCACCCAGCGAATAAAGTCCGCGCCAGAACGCGAGACAAGTTTCTTCCAGCAGCGACTGAGCTAGAAAGCGCAACAAACCAACGTGTTCGATAATTTGGCCAGCGGAACCAAATAACGCCTCTCTTGCGGATCCTGCAGGGAGCCCTTTTACGTTGCACAGAGAGCAGTCTCCGCTGAAGCGATTGGCAGCGGCACCGGAAGTGCCTGCGGATCTCTAGCTCGCGTAAAGGCTTTTCTGAAGAGGCTCCAGGCCTGAAAGCGGAGTTTCCTTCTGGACCGGAGCGGAGAATCGGTGCGGTGGCGGAGATGGAATGCGGCATGGAAGGCCGGACAGCCAGCGCGCTCTTCGCGGGGTTCCGGGCCTTGGGGCTCTTTAGCAACGATATTCCACACGTGGTGCGGTTCAGCGCGCTGAAGCGCCGGTTCTATGTAACGACCTGCGTGGGCAAGAGCTTCCACACCTATGACGTGAGTGGTTTCTTCCTCTGCCACTTTGCGAGACCTCCCGCCCCCTCCACTTCCCAGCGCTGTCCCAAGGCAATCCCGTTGCGTCCCGCAGTCTGCTAGCGTTTTCCTTTCTGCCCCAGGCTTGCGTCACCACTCCCTGTGCTGTCTCCTGGCGTCCACGTGCTCGGCCCTGGCGGTTCAGCTGGGGACAAGTTTCCGTGGCAGCCTGGCCAGGGGGAAAAGTATTGTACTGGACAGAGCGTCGCAGCCTGTGGCAGCGTATTTGCTTAGTGTTTATTGAGCTTCCACCGAAGATGTACACACGGAGAATACAAGCTCCCTCGCTCTTAAAGTCTTGGTGCCTGAAGACTTGCAAGCCAGTTTTATAAGTAGTTGATGATGCAAACAGCGTTGGAAATTTATGCAGTGAATTAGAGTGAGATTAATTATGTTTTTTGGACTCATATTTGAGTATCTGGCACAGCGTCATTACAAGACTTGCAGCAGTTTCTTTGCGAGTAAGGTTACATTATCTGGTAACACTCCTACGTAAAATAGGAAAGTAAATCTTAGAAAAATTAAGGTACTGGTCAAGGACCTCCTGCTTGTTGGTGGATTCTTTCTCTTTTAACAGCTCCCAGTTATTCAAATAGTCTTTTTTTTCTCCAAAATAATACAGGCTCTGAGAGTGAAAGGTAATATGCCAGTATTAGTTAAACACTTTTTCTGGTAAGCACGCTGCAGAATTATTTTCCTTGAAGATTTATGAAAGTCAGATTGGTTATTTAAAAAAAGAGCAGGAAATTGGGAGGAAGTTGAGTTCCTGTAAAAGGAAAGTGAAGGAAGTGTGAGGTGAAGAGCAATTAGATTTCTGGAGGTCTGAATTAGTGACATCGTTATTTATGTAGGCGTATTTACTGATACTTTTCTCCCCACTCATTTTTCTTCTGAACATTTTTTTTTTTTCCCCCTTTTGGTACCAGGGATCGAACTCAGGACCTAGCACTTGCCAGACAGGCAGTCATGCCGCTGAACTAAATCCCCCTCCCCACTCATTTTTGCTAGCAAACGTTTGGGTTTGCTAAAATTTTTCCTGAGACATAACTTTTCTTAAGCTTTTTAAAGGTCTTAAATCTTTGGTATGGCATCTTTTCTGAAACTCAGCTATATGTACACAAACACATTTTGCCCTATGCTATTTTGAAAAAAATTCTGGGATTAGGTCAGTAACACATAAAAGTTTCACCTTCTATGTATCTCTGCATTGAAATTTTGTTATAAGAATGGTTTTTAATATCCCCTTTCCTTTTAACATTGATGATACACTTTTAAATTCACTCTTATTATAACATCATAGTATGCAAATTCTTATTGCCTAAGGACTTTATATGCTTTTCATACCAATCAGTCCTTTGGGCTATGATCAAATGAAAACAATGTGGGAGAAAAAAATGGCACTAATAAGGTCAAATTACTGATTTGGTCTGTAAGTGCTCTGTCCTATGACTATAGGACACAGTCAGACTTATTACAGATTAGCTTTTTGTACAGGGAAATTAGCCAATTTGTGGAGAGGTGATTGGTAATTAAAGCAGGTACTATTTACTGAGCATTTACTATATGACTGGTTCTATTCTGTTCCTCATAGATTTATAATCCCATTGAATTTTCATACTCCTATAAACTACATATCTGTGTTAATCCCTGTTTTACATTTGAGGAATTTAAGGAAAAGAAAATTGAATAACTTCCTCAGGGTTGCATAGTTTGACTAATACCCCTATATTGGAATCAGCAAATTAGTCTGCAAGCCACTCCAGCCCTTTGTTTATTTTGGTGTGACCCAGGAGTTATGCATGATTTTGATATTTTTGTAAAGATTGATGAGAATCAAAAATACTTCACAACATATGAAAACTATTAGATTTCAGTGTCTGTAGATGAAAGTTGATTGGAATACACTCATCACATTTATTTTATACATGTGTTTTTATGCAACACTGACAGAGTTGAATAGTTATGATAGACTACTTGTTCCACCAAGCCTAAAATAGTTGCTCTTTAGTCCATTACAGACACTGTTTCCAACACTGCTCTTGATGAAATCCTTGGAATACAAACTTTTCTAATGAGTTTTAGGGCCGATGAATATCTTTTTTAGGAAGAGCAGAGTAGTCAATTTATATATAAGCTTATAACTTAATCTTCAGACATTGTAACTATTTTTATTAATGAGAACTTACTGATTTTTCTTTCTTTTCCTAAACAGGTTCAGAAACTTAGTCTGGTTGCAGTAAGTAAGTGTGAACTTTACCCTAAATTTATGCATGTTTTGTATCTTTACTCTTTTATTGTAACATAGAATCCTGGGTGGAAGGAACATAAGCCTAAATAGCAAAAACAGAAGTCCAGGACAGGGTCTTCAGATTGTGTTTCATAACACTGATTTGGAAGAGCACAATCCAATTCTTTTTTTTAGAATGTCCTTCAGTTTGAGTTTTTGTATTTTTTTCTCATAGTTAGACTCAGATTATGTATGCACTTTGGCAGGAATAACAAAGAAATGATGCTGAATTATCAGTGAATTATATTAAAAGACTCAAGTAGTTGGTTAATTCTATTTCTAACAATAAAAACTTTGATAGTTTAGTTAAAGAGACATCTGTAGGAGGTTCCATTTTTTAAATTACTATATTGTCTTATATAGTTAATAAGTCTCTTGTGCTAAGATGCATTGATTATGTAAATATCCTATTACTCGTCAGAGTTTCACGTGCTGCTCTTAGCATAGGGTGATACTTTCCTGAATCAGTTATTAATAACTGTAATAAATGTGATAAATAGTAATTTTTGTTTTTATCATTCCTTCTACTCTAAGAAAGAGCCTTACATTTGGATATTTTTTTCCCAGTCAGAGGGAAATTTATTTTTTTAAACTGTATAATAAAATAAAGGACTTTGCAGAACTGAGAGGTACTAGTTTTACCTTCACATATGAGCCCTTGTGAAAGAAATACAAGACATCTGTAAGGTTTCTGTTGTGTCTGATAAACTTATGTTTTTTTTTAAAAATTTAGAAGACAGAAGACAGATTTGTAACATAACGAATACAGAAGCAAAAAATAAACCTATAAAAGTAGTATTATGAAAATTAAATCTCAAAATGAAACATGCTACATAAAAGCATTTAAGATCATCCTCTACTATTAACCTCTTACATTTAAAAGAAAAAGGCATTGTGTCCATATTTGTGAGAGACAAATCAGGAAGTGATATCGTATGAGAAATTACTAGACGTGATAGGCACATTTACTTTGGAGAAGACTTGAGTGGAAGCCGTATTGTCTATAATTACTTTAAGATTCAAGATGTAGAATGCCATGTTTCTTGGAGTTGGTCCAAAAAGTAGATATGTATCTAGGTCTTGATTTACTTTTAAATTTTACTGGAGTTATTGGTGAACTGTTATGTTCTTAAAGATACTCACATGAAGACTACATGCTGGTCTGTCAGTTTTGAGTGTGAAGTAATGATTGTTTCTAAATACTTCAGGAAGCTTTTCATTTCTTTAAGGTTGTATACTTCTACAAATCCTAAACATTTATAAAATTGAAGTCAAAACTCAGCTTTCATTATTAAATATATTTTTAGTGTTATAGCTGTAAGAAATGTTTTATATATATATATATATATATATATATATACACATATATATGTATATGTGTTTGTTTTAACATTTCTGTTTATTCCAAGATCTTTAAAAACCCTTACTCTACACTTTTCTCTAGGTAATTCTGTTCCACAGGATATCTGCTGTATGGCAGCTGATGGGAGGCTAGTCTTTGCTGCTTATGGAAATGTTTTCTCTGCATTTGCCCGTAATAAGGAGGTTTGTATCACCTGACTACATTAACTTGTACAGGTATTTTTCTTCCTAATGTTTACTGAGTTTTCTAGAGGAAGAGAAAATTGATTTCATCTGTATATGTATATGTACTCTTACATGCGTTATATATGAAGAGACTTAGAAAGGGTACTATGTGTACACCTTTGGTCAGGATTAGGGGAATAAATTAGGGATGGGGAGCCTCAGTGTCTATCAACTATGGAAAGCTGTTAACCACCCATGGGACCAACAGCTAAAGGAAAAGAAATCGTGTTATTGCAGAATGTGAGAGTTGAAACCATGGAAGAAGGGATAGTGTTATGGAGAATCAGCTACTCTTAAGGATATTCTGTGTAAAAGCAGAAAGGTATAGAAGAGAAGCGTTCTACATCTCTCATCTCATCTGGAGGCCAGCTGGTGATTGAATCTGTAGAGGTCAGCCTTCTGGGACATACAGTTTTTTTCTAGTGCAGGGGTTGTATTGGTAGAACTGGGGAAGGAACCTGGGTTTTGTGTGCATGCCTCTTCTCTAACCTCAGCAAGTGGAGCAGAGTTTTTAGAGGTCAGCATAAGGGCTAACATATCTCTATGGTATTATTAGTCTATGATTTACTTCCTTATTATTGATCTTTCTGAGAAGGGAAAGAATATGCCTGGTTTCTTGCTATTTAAACTACTTTCTTAACATGAACATTTTTAGGAATAGCATGCTTTTTGGATAGTGTGACTAATGCTGTATGGTAAATGAGTAATAATATGGAATTGTTTTAATTTTGACATTTTAGGTAGTACATACCTTTAAAGGTCATAAGGCAGAAATTCAACTTTTGCAACCCTTTGGGGATCACATTATCTCTGTTGATACTGACAGCATTCTTATTATTTGGCACATATATTCAGAAGGTAAGAAGTGACAAATTTACTTTCTTTGCTTCAGGATAGTATTGTAAAGTTAAAAATAAAGATCTATCAAATATAATTTCTATATCAGAGATTTTACATGTAAACAATTAAAAAAAGGTTCTGTGTTAAATGTAAACTGATGTGTTCATCTTATCTAGGACATTTTCATTTACTGTTCACCAAGCTTTTTTTTTTTTTTTTTCCTGTGGAATAATTTTTTTTTTTGAAACAGAGTCTCTCACTGTGTAGCTCAGGTTGGCCTTGAACTCGCTTATGTAATCCAGGCTGTCCTTGATTCTCCTACCTCAGCTTCTTGAATGCCTGGATTACAGGTGTGAGCTACCACATCAGGCATATGAAATAAATTTTGATAAATGTTCACACCCATGTAATTATCAATGAGTATTTTCAAGTTTTAGTAGAGGAAATTGTAATTGGTAAACTTGAAGATATTACAGTTTGAGGGAAAACATATTCCTTTTCAAAAAATATGAAGATTGTATTCTCAAAAGATTTCAAATTTATCACCAGAATATCCCCAGCTTTCTTTACTAAAATACTGGGGTCCATTATGAATTAAGTCTTTAAGTGACATTTTTAATTGAAATTATCTCTTGTTCAATGTAGTATGGCTTTTTATTTATTTATTTTGATACCAGAAGTGGAACTCAGGAATTGGTGCTTGCTAGGCAGGCGCTTGTGCTGCTGAGCTATATCCCTGGCCCCAGTATGTTTATTTTTAGTAAGTACCCTAGAACTGTGATGATAAACCTTTTAGAGCTTGCAGTCATATAAACAGCCTGCTGTGGCACATGTGCCATAGGTTTGCAACCACTGCTCTAGAGATTGCCCTTAAAAGAGTCATTCTATATAGGAAACACTCCCCCCCACCCCGCTCTTGTTTTGTTTTGCTTAATTGGTGCTCAAGTAGAGGGATCAGAATTCTAGAAATACTCTCTATGAAGATGAATGTTAAAAGGCCAAATGGGGGGGATACAGCTCATTGGCAGAGCCCTTGCCTAGCATGTGTGAGGTCTGGGGTTAATCTCCAGCACTTGTTTTGCATTTTTTGGTTTTTTTAACCTTTATAAGGGTATAAGATCAGATTCTTAAAACCCAATAGCTTTATTCTGGTGATGATGCCTTTTTCGTGCTGTTAACAGTATGTTTTGAAAGAGTTGGAAGAAGTTTTTGATTTTTGCAGGAGATGTTTACTATGCTTGCAGTGCCACTCTCCACTTCATAGAGTTGTAAGGGTTGCAAGTTCTTTTGCTGTCCTCTATTAGAGATTCTTCTATGGAAATGTATGAAAAGCACCATTCTTGGTTTTGCTAAGGCTTGACACTTTTTATACCTTTTGAATGGCTCACCAAGTTTTCCAGATTTTTGACTCTTGACACAGAGCATTCACTTAGTCATCAACTTAATCATATTATAAGATTATTAATGCTGATCCAAGGATCACGTGTTACCTTCATGTTTCTTTTCTGTAATGCAATTTGCACTGAAGTGCAATGTGTATATTAGAACTTGTAGATAATTTTTGACAATCTAATTACACTTAAAAGTTGTCCCCATCATATTTTATTTCTCAAGGAATATTGATAGGTTATTTTATAAATGTTTGCTTTTTATTAGCATATGATTCTCTTACATGATACACTTTTTTTAGCTATATGTGTTGCTGAAGCAAGCACTCATATTTTTAAGTGATAATATGGGTATTTTAAACTATTTTATAAAAATAATTGTTATTTATAACTTTCACTTTTATAGAGGAATACCTGCAGTTGACTTTTGATAAATCGGTTTTCAAAATTTCTACAATTTTGCATCCAAGTACCTATTTGAATAAAATACTTTTGGGCAGTGAACAAGGAAGCCTGCAGTTGTGGAATGTTAAATCCAAGTAAGCAACGTATCTAAAAAGTAACATCAGTATTTACCTTCCCTTTACCTACTATTTCTTGATACATTCTTAAGTCTCAATTCTTCCTACTCTTTTATGTTTATTGGGAGCCCATCAATAAATATAGCTCGTTTTGAAATTCTTGCTTATGGTTTTCTATATTCAAAAACTGGCATGTGGTCTTGGCACATGATAGGCAGATTCATAAGTACTCACTAAAAAATATTTATTAATGGCCTATTACCTGAAAAGAATCTATAGCTATGGAGAAGATTTGAGTAAAGTAATGTTATGAAATAATCATTATGGAGCATCTGGTGTTTGATAAACTAAGGAGAGAGGGTAAAGCAAGTAAGTGTTAATTTAGTGTTTGCATTTAGAAATGGTTTTTGGGGAAAAAATACTTTCATAAACAATATAATGTTGCAGATCATTGTAGCATTAAATAATAGTTGACTTTTCCAAAGGCTTATAAATTCAAAAAGAAACTTTAAATGTTTATCCTAAGTCCTGTTTTGAATTACTAATTTCGGTTCATTTTAACAATACCATTGACTGCTTGTTCTATGCCAGACTTGAGGATATCTACATGCTCTTAAGGTTATTTCCTAGATTATTCCTGTGATGTTTGCCACGTTTGTTGTACTTCAAATATCCATTGCATACATTTTGAGTAATCTGGGCCCATTTGCAAAATTTAATATAGGGCTTGGTACTTTAGTGATTATTGCTAATTATTATTGTAATGATTGTAGATATCTCTACTCAGTGGACTTAAAATTTATCAATCATGATTTGAATATGAATCAGTAGCATCACTATTGTCATACAGTTGTTCATGTAACACACAAGTACTGTTTTATTAAGGGCTAATTTATAATATACTATAATTCCTTTAGTATTGATGTTTCTAGAAAAGCATTGCAAGGAAAAATGAAATCTGCCTATAGTCCAAGATTGTTTTATTATGGTGCAAATAAAAGGATATTTTTACTTATCTCCCACTTGGATAATTTTTTTCAAGAAGTAGTATAGTGTAGCAGTTTACTTTCTTTTCTTTTGCTTGTAGTAAACTTCTGTATACATTTCCAGGATGGAAAGTTGGAGTGACAGCTCTTCAGCAGGTTAGTAGTTTTTGTTAAAGAAGAAATGTTAGTAGTGTGGTATTTTAGGTTCAAAGATCAGTGTATTTTTAGACCTGAAAACAAAGTAATAGTATAACTTGGTTTATTTTTGTAACAGTTATCCTAAGAAAATGGAATTTTGGAAGTATAGTTGAAAACAAATAATGACACCTTTTGCCTATAAAACTTTTTGGAATCTTTTGTGCTTAATATTGTGCTCTAAACCTGTGGTTGCCATTGGACTTTGTTAATGAATCATTTTGCAAGCATGTAATTTATTACTAAAGGTGTTAGAAATTTAAATGCAACTATAGGTCAAACAGAGAAATCCGTTTGAATGTTGAGATTGGTGACTTGAAATAATTGAACCCAAAATACTAATGCTTATTCAATGGCAGACTCTTCCAGAAATAACTGATTTTTGTTTTTGAGTCAGTAAAACATGTATGAATGAATGAATGAATATCTGTAGAAACCTTGATATATGTGTTGATGACATACAGCATTGTACCCTGTCTTTCTAAATATTCATTGCCTATACCTGCCCAATATTTGCATTCCATCATCCCATTTCACTGCCATCAATGTGGCTCTATTTTTGCCTATCCAGAAGAACCGAAAGCATCAGAAGCATAATACTGATTTTAGTGTCTTTAGTCTCTGCATAGGGTCTTAGATAAAATAGGCACTTAATGGCATATTAATGTAATGTTTTACGTCATTTTCTTCTAAACAATATTGGACACTTATCTTTGTTAGAATAGAGAAATTCATACTAGAGCCTGTATGTTAAACTTTTGTAATTATAACATGGTTGTCATAGTTCATTAGTGCTAGAACAGACTATTTGTACTTTTTTACCTTTTAGCATATTTTACAGGTTTTTCCTATATGCCTTGAATAAACTTTCACTTTCTTTGTAGTTGACCACTTACAAGTCTTTATACATTGTCTGTGACTAATGTCTTTTGTGTTTCATGTAGTCCATGATCTGTAGTGATTTCATACTTAAGCTTCCTTTTTTGTGTGACTCTTTTGTTACCAAGAAAGCTTTGTGTGGGGATTGGGAGGAAATGCTGAGTGGCAGAATTGAAGCTGGGAACTAATTGGAAAAATCATTCCCAAATGCTTCTGTGTTGAATAACAGTTAAATTATGCCAGAATAGTAATAGTTGTGGAGGTTTTTTGCTACTTTTAAGAAGAAATTTTATTTCTTTCGGTAATATGTAAGTAATAGTACATATCATTAAGATTATTAGAGCTTTGTTGCTTAAGAAAATAAGAAGTTGAATAATTTGATTTTCAGGCACCAGCTGTGGATGTTGTTGCCATTGGTCTTATGTCGGGTCATGTTATCATTCACAATATTAAATTTAATGAAACATTAATGAAGTTTTGTCAAGACTGGGGACCCATTACTTCAATTTCATTTCGCACAGGTAACTTTTATTTATTTATAAAAGTTAAGAATACTTGAAATACTTTATTTTAAAGGTCATGGAACTCTTTAATGGATATTTTCTTGTAGTTTAATTAAAGTTAATGAAATACTGTAGGTAAAGGAAAATGGAACATTGGTATAACGTTCTCTAACTTTATTATAAATTAAAAGAAAAGATTGTTAGATTTCTTTGTGAGTATGTTTTTCTTAATCTGTTCTATTATAATAACAGATGGTCATCCAATAATGGCAGCTGGAAGCCCATGTGGTCACATTGGACTCTGGGATCTAGAAGATAAAAAATTAATCAATCAGATGAGAAATGCACACTCTACAGCAATTGCTGGATTGACGTTTCTCCATAGAGAGCCACTTCTTGTCACAAATGGTGCTGACAATGCTGTTCGGGTATTATGATTATTTTTGTTCTCTTCCTAGCTCATCTAACCTACACTTTAGGTTATTATAAGCCTGTTTTAATATATAAGGCTTGAATATAGAAAAGGAAAATAATATAGAATGAAGTACTGGTACTAATTGCAACAAAGTACACAAGTGTTGCCACTTATTTTTTCCAAATACCCATTCCAGTGTCAGTGATCTGGCAAGTACTGCTCAATGCCACTAGTGATTCCTGTAGTAGCTTAACTACTTGGGGGTTAGATAGTTCATAATGGAAAAATGTTACCATTTTTATTTCTTGGCAGATATGGATATTTGATGGTCCTGCAGGTGAAGGCCGACTTTTGAGATTCAGAATGGGACATAGTGCTCCTCTTACCAGTATCAGATATTATGGGCAAAATGGACAGCAAATTCTAAGTGCAAGTGAGTTTCTACCACTGTCCTTACTATTTCAGTGAGTATGGAGAAGTAGAAGTTCAGGATTCATTCACTGTATTACTTACACATTTTTTAATTGAAATGTTTCTTTAAATGATCCTAACATGTAACATCAAACTTTTTTTAGAACCTAATTTTATAAGATCTTTGCTTCACATGGACTCTTGTTCTGATGAAGTCTAATTAGGAATTTCTGTGTGTATCTGTAGGCCAAGATGGAACTCTACAGTCATTTTCCACAGTACATGAAAAATTCAACAAGAGTTTGGGACATGGTAGGTCATTCGCTAGATAGAAAATAAGCTACTGGTCACAAAAGAAACATTTTTAGATTTTTGTGAGAGAACTAGAAGACATTTTAGTAAAACACTGTCTTGGAAAAAAATTAAAAAGTGATCAAAGGAGTAATATGGTAATACCAGAGCTTATGTGAAATGATGGAAGCGCTGCTATCAAGTTATTTAAATTGTCAGGCATCCAGGGTAATAAAAATGCACTGCTGCCACCCAGAAGACACTGACAATCTAAGTAAGCCTGTAAATGCAGACTTTGAAATACGGAAGCAAGATTAGTCAAAGCACCACAACAACCTCTCCCTGCCTTTTCTGCTACGAAGGCCTCTTTAATATCTTGCGATGGTTTCTATCCTTTGAAACATTTATTGACTAAAAATGATTTCTGGTGTAATCAGTAGCCATCTTTTTAGTATTAAGTTAATATATAAAAATTTCCTCTTGAAATTACATCGACGATATCTGATATCTTTTAAGGATCATCCAATCTAGGACTATGATATATTTACATTCAAGTTGTCTTTTGTAAAAGACATACTTACGTAAACTTTTAAGTTTTCTTCATGTTGGTCCTATGAATATTATGTTTATTTAGTGACATTTTACTATTATAAATCAAATCTTTGCTGTATTATTGATTATTGCTACAATGTTAGGAAGTTGGGCTTTCTTATGAGATGTGATCAAAATATATGGTGATTATTCAAATTAAAATTGAATACAGTAAAAGACACTTTCGTTAATTCCCTTCAAAATATGCCTTTGACACTTAACCAGTCATTCTTTCTATTTTCTAAACCAGTTTTGGAAGTTCGTACTGGTGAATGTCTCTGATGAAAAATACAGAAAATAATGCTCTTTAGTGCCATGCAATAGAAAGACTGGCTCATGAAAAATAGTAATGTGTCTTCATTTACCTTAATCACCAGATCTGATGCCTTTTTTCCTAAAATCAAAATGACCATGAAAGGTAAAATGTTTTAAATCAATTTAGGACATCCAGGAAGCTATGACAGAACAACCAAAGACACTCATTAACAAGGACTTCCCAAATTGCTTCAGAATTTGGCGAGAACAATAAATTTATATGTTCAGACTGAAGAACAATATTATTAGGGAAATTAATGTCAATGTGTGTTTTACTATAACAATTTAAAATATTTAAACTTTTTTATCACATCTCAGGTGATCAAACAGTGAAGCTTGTTTCGATAATTATTTGGTTGCTTCATTTGATTGTATGACCATCATATCATTAACAGATATTTTGCCAGATTTTTTTTTGTAATTTGTTTTTATGTCTTAGTTACATAAACCACAAGTAAACAGTCAGTGGTAATAATGATTACATTCTTGTGTTGCTTCTGACCTTCATTGGAATATCTTGAATATAGTTTTGTGGCAATAAATAGATTATTCTGAATATATGTGCTTTTTATTAAGAAAGATATTCATCGCTGTTACTCTTTACCCCTAACCTCAGGATTAATAAATAAAAAGAGAGTCAAACGTAAAGGGCTTCAAAATACCATGTCAGTAAGACTTCCACCTATCACAAAGTTTGCAGCTGGTAAGTAGCTTCATACTGTGTTCTAAGAAATTTGTTGTTTTACACTTATTTCTTCCATTTTAATAAATGTTTGCAACTATTAGTGTTTAGAAGGTAATCCCAAATTTATGCTGTTTTTATAAAAGTTAAAATGAGTAGTTTATAGTATAAATTTATTAACTTCAGGTATGTTACTTGTGTTAACATGTACAGTTCTTAAGTACTGTTTTGATTTTATAACCCTTTTCATTCTGTTCTATGGCAGATCTAATGAAAGCCACTAATGGGAAAGCATGAGACTGAGATATATAAGGACATAGAGCTGTAACTCATCAATATCTAATGTCATTTGAATAGAGCTTCTTTCCAAGAAGTTTTAGAAAAATATGTGTAGATGATAGTTTAATAAAAACTCAGGAAATAACTGTGTAGATACTATTTCAGGGATGTTATATCCTGATCACTTTTTTCTTTTCCTTTTTTGAACACCTTCCTTTCCCATTTTCTTAGAGCCTAACAGGTTTTTCCAAAACGTGTATCTGAATTGTATCATCCATTAGCTTAAAATTTTTTAAATGTGACGTCTCACTACATTTAACATAGAATCATCTCTCCAAAGGGACATGAAGACTGTAATGCAGCCCCAGTTAGCTTGTCTTGTTATATCTCCCAAGAAAATACTTTACCAACTTGTTCTGAGTTTTGTTTGGTTACCATTGGGCTTGTTAGCAGTTTCAACTTCTGCCCTGCTAATTTTTACTTGTTTTACTATTTTTTTTTCCAGGAAACTGTGTTACTGTTCCAAACTCTTAGTGAGACTGTTCCTGGGTGCTCTTATAAAACATCATACTATTATACTTTCACTGTAATTTCTTGTTTGTTAAATCTGTTAACAGTGTTAACTTGAATTAGTCATTCCACAATGTGTACAACGCCACAACACACTGAACACCATGATATGTACTGTTTGCTCATCAATTAAAAAATAATAATTGTTATATTGGAGTCTCGTTATCAGAGATAATGTTTTACTAGTCTATCTTTGGTACCTGATATTAGAGTGGAATATTAGATGTGTAATAGATAAATGAGAGCATGAAAATCAGTTTAGATTTTAATTATTTTTAGAGGCAGCTCGTGAGAGTGACTGGGATGGTATCATTGCTTGCCATCAAGGTAAGCTATCCTGCTCAACATGGAATTATCAAAAATCTACAATAGGCTCTTACTTTCTCAAGCCAAAAGAATTGAAGACAGATGACATCACTGCAACAGTAAGTGAGCTTGCTTCTTTAGAGTATTTTCTCCTTTAAAACTGTCCTATGATAATTTTGTCATACTCAACTTCAGTAATAAAATTGGTCAAAATAAACAAGGATTAACGTTTAGAAGTTATTTTCTATTATGTTTTGCAACTTTCAAAGATTTATTTCACTATGAGGGTGGATCCCAAAGAGTTTTTAATTTGCATATCCTAAGGATTTATGATGTTTTCATGTGATCATGGGCCATATGTATGTGTCTGTCTGTCCTTATATCAATACTGCATTGTCTCGATTATGTTAGTTTTGTAAAAGTTTTGAAATCAGGAAGTTTGACTCCTGTAAGTTTGTTCTATTGTTTTTCAAAATCACTTTCGCTCTTCTGGCCCCATAAAGTTCTAAGATTTGCCAGTCAATTTATTTTATTTTATTTATTTATTTTTTTTTTTTTGGTCTTTTTCATTTTTATCGGTACCAGGGATCAAACTCACGACTGCCTGCTTGCAAGGCAGGCGCTTATGCCGCTGAGCTAAATCCCCAGCCCCTTTGCCAGTCAATTTATGTAAAACAGACAGCTAGGATTTTGATTGTATTGCTCAATTTGAATATTGCTACTCCTGACCCAGGAAGAGTTTCTGTAGGTGGTATTTTGTACTTGTCAATGCATATCTCACACTTCTTTTATTAAAGTTTTCTGTATTTTATTTTTTAGAGTGCTACTATAAGTGCAATTGTTTTTCTCTATTTTGTATTATACTAGTCTTGTGTCTTGCAACCTTGCTGAATTTATTAGTTCTAATAATTTCTAAATAGGTACCTTGTGCTTTTGTTAGCGCTGAAGACTATAATTCAACATTTAATCTATTATGTACTTATTATTTATATATATATGCCTTACTCTCAATAGTATGAGAAGCTAGTCTTACTTAAGCTTTTATATAGTTTTTTAAACCACACTGATTCTGTTTTAAGTTTCTTTAAAGGTTTACCTGTACAGTTTTGAACAGCAGTTTTAGTAGTAGTGGTAAAAATATTAGCTGATACTTTATGAGTGCTTGCTTTGTTTCAGGCTTCTTGTTTGGCATGTATTTTGCATGATTCTCGCAACTGTTTGGTCTGTTAATGAGAGTGAGTTTTAATGAGTAATTTGCCTGTGATCAGTAGAGCTAGTAAGTAGGATGGCTGAGATTTAAACCTAAGATGACTCATTCTGAACTTTATTTTCTTACACTTCATCATGATCATTAATAATAACTTTTAGCATATAAATGATTCTTCACTGGTGCTCAGTCTTCTCTCTGGCAACGTTAGCTACCTAAAACAAGGCCAGTAACCAATAAGACAAACAGTAATTGTTAGCTCAAGCACCAACGTATAACGTGACCCAAAAGTACCTCTTACAGTTTCTTTTTACTTTGTTTATTGTGTCACAGAAAATAGAATAAATAAATTAGAAAAGATTACTGGAAGCAGGCATACAACAATAAATGCTATTAAAATAAGTCCTAAAAAACATAGCAGTATCAGGAAAGGGCCTTTATTACTTAAAGATTTTAGCCTACTATCTTGATTAATTCTTGAGGAATAATGCTATAATACTACATAAGCATGAGTTAATCAAAATGGATAAGATTGTATTCAATTTAGGAGGATAGAATGTTTTTTAAGCATAGGGTGTTAGTCCCTGATGTAAAATACTTTTAATGCCGAAATACCTTTATTTAGAAAAACGAATGTACATGAAGCACTTTTTTATTTTAAAAAGCAAAAAAAAAAAAAAAAAAAACAAAACAAAAAGTAGAAACAAGCAAAATTTTTTTTTAAAAATGTAGTAAAATAGAATTGGGGTATTTGAATGTTGCCATTCCTCACCCAGAAATGTTGCCTTTCTTGACACAGAATGATGTATCAACTTTATGTTGCTTTGCATAATTAAATATTAAACCTCAAATATTGTCTCAAATCTGAATTAAATATTTTCTGTTTAAACCATCAAGCTCATCTTTTAATTTAGCTGTAAATTCAGCAGCCTTTGAATGATCTCTTGGGTGAATGACATCTGACTAACACATGGATAGTCAGTGATCTTTCTGGCCACAACTCGATGAATAGATAGCCTGTCTTATGTTTTTGACATGTTTGCCTTCCTAATATCTCACAATTAAAATATTTTGGTCTTTTTCATTGAGCATTCTAACTAATGGTATATCAACTTCAGAAGGAATTGCAAAAGCAAAGATAGGGAAAAATTGGGCTGCCAAGTGCTTTGCTGTTGACATTGCTCAGAATAAATTTAAAGACCATCTTAATAAACTTCTCCTGACTTCATAAATTTCATTTGCATTAACTAGTTATGTTTTATTGTCTCGGATATAATTTATGTGTACTTTTTTAAGAATAGAAAAAGTATTGAACTATGTGATTTGGTTGTCTTGGATATAATTTATGTGTACTTCTTTAAGAATAGAAATAGTATTGAATTATGTGATTTGGTTTTAATTTCTATTCTACCTGAAGGCCGTGGATATAACTTCTTGTGGAAACTTTGCTGTAATTGGCCTCTCATCAGGAACTGTAGATGTGTATAACATGCAGTCTGGTATACATCGAGGAAGTTTTGGCAAGGATCAAGGTATTGAATTTTTTTGGCTTTTCTTTTTTTATTAAAATAAATTTTAAGTAGGTAATCGTAAACCCATATAGCAGATAGTATCATTACATTTGTTATAAATACCATATTGAAATAGTCAAAGAGAATGAAGTCATGAACACATTTGGCGAGAGTAGAGGTTATACACCAAATTAAATTTTTTAAATGTTCTTATCTACTTACAGCAGAAAAATCTTAATGAAATTTTGGAAGCTTGTTGATGACACAAACTGATTTCTCTTTTTTACCTAAACAAAATAATAATTAAGAATCTCGTCCCTACCCTCAAAACTCCTTAGTAATTTAAGATGTTAGGGGCATAGTAAGAATTTCAATATTTCAGTAAAGAAATTGTTCCTTATCTGTTGTTGAAACAGGCTTTGAAAATTTTAATTTGTTTTTTCTTTTAACATGTGCTTAAAAAGCTCATAAGGGATCTATCAGAGGTGTTGCAGTTGATGGATTGAACCAGTTGACCATTACAGCTGGTAGTGAAGGATTACTGAAATTCTGGAACTTTAAAAACAAAGATTTAATCCATTCTGTGAACCTTGATTCATCTCCAAATAGGATGCTGCTACATAGGGACAGGTAAATTCTTTAATGGTAATAGATTCTTTTTGATGTTTTTAGTATAGGTGCTTAAATAATTTGTCAACTGGAAAAAATTAGACTGATGAGGACAACATTTGGTTTAATTTCTTAAAGCTATATTTAATGAACAGAATACAAGGTCTATGCTTTGTTGTTTGTGTATTAAACCTGGTGCATTTCTCTTGCTAGTGGCATTTTGGGACTTGCCTTAGATGACTTCTCCATTAGTGTTCTGGACATAGAAACTAGGAAGATTGTCAGAGAGTTTTCTGGACACCAAGGCCAAATAAATGACATGGTAAAACAAACTTTAGCTCCTTAAACACTTTGATTCATTTCTTCTTTGTGGGTTAAAAATGTTCAAATAATTCAGTCTGTTCTTTTAATAACCATAAACTCATATGAAGGAACTTTCAAAATAATAATTTGTAGAGTTAATTTACCAAGATATTTTTAAGAAAATTTGGGATTAAATGTTTAATATTTCTTAGGGAATTCTTGTGATCAGATTCAAGTAAACATTTCATATTTACTTTTTTTCTTTAATTAAAGCCAAAATGTACTTTAAAGAATGAATGTTGCATTGGTACCTAAGTGTATCATTTTTCACTTCATGTTAGAGTAAGCTGAGAGAATTCATTCCTCTTTGGTGTGTGTAATGAATTAATAGTAGCTTGCACTAACTGGTTTATTCTAGTTTAGTGTTATTTCTAGAGTTTATGTATTATAGTGAAAAGAAATTTCAGGAAAATACCTCCTACAACTTGGAGTTGGCAAAATTATCTGTCAGCAGAATTTGTGTTGACGGCACCTGTAGAAATGGGTGGTAGTGGGGTAATGGTGATAAAAGGGAATTTTGAAAACAGCTGTGAGTGACAACTTGTTATTAATGGTTTTGTTTGTTTGTTTGTTTATTGTTTCCTTTTCAAACTTTACTTTTCTGTTTGGGTGTTTGGAGTTTTTCTTATTCAGTAGTAAGTTACTTCTGTTCGCTTAAATCTCCGAGCATTTATAACATGACCTTAACTCTGAATGTTATTTCATCCTGTATGGTGGTATCTTTCTACATTTCTTAAGTTGAGCAAGTTGATCCTGATACCTTATTCTGGTATTATTTATTAATATGGATGGTCATAATCCTCTGTCTTTAGATTCCTGAATGAATAATGTGCTATCAGCCTTAAAATTTTTCCTTTTTAGTCAGTTACGTCCAATCCAAGTCTCTCCTCATTTATGTGTTGCAGTCAAGAAAAATTATTATCCACTTTATAGCTAGAAAATAGGACTTTTCAGATTACATAAGTGCTTCATTGTGTAAATTGCTTTGAAAATCTTTATGATCATTGTATTTTTAAATTGTATTTTAGAAGTAATACATCATTAAGGGAAAAAAGGTATTTTTGTGTGTGTGTGTGTGTGTGTGTGTGTGTGTGTGTGTGTGTTTTTCTTTTGTAATTCTAGGGCTCAAACTCAGGGCCTTGTATAATACAAGTCAAGCACTACCACAGAGCTACATTACCAAACCAGAAAAAGTTAACTTTTTTTTTTTTTTTTTTTTCCTGGGGATGCACTTCTGGGCCTCTGCTCTAAGCCTTCAGCCTTTGGCCTTCTTATAATTTTTTTAATGAAAAAAAGTAACATAAAATTTCATAACACTATAGTAATCTCTAAAGTAGTTAGAGTGCAATAAATACATGGGCATAAAACAGTTCTCCAAATGATAGCACAGGGGCTGGGGATTTAGCTCAGCAGCATAAGCACCTGCCTTGCAAGCAGGCGGTCGTGAGTTCGATCCCTGGTACCGATAAAAAGTTAAAAGAAAAAAAAAAAGAGCAAACAAATGATAGCACAAACCTTTCTTTGAGTGAACTATGTGAAACTAGAAGTATAACTTCCTTGTATTTTTTTCCTTTTCCCTTCCTTCCTTTCCCCTTTCTCCCATCCTATTTCCTTTTTCTTTTATACAATTTCTTCCCATTTCACAGTATGTGTTGTACATGTTGGACCTTATTTACTCTTTCAGTTTCTCCACCACAGGGACAGTACAGTGTATACATATGTGAGTCTGATTTATCTTTTAATGTTTTTGAGATAGAGTCTCACTATGTTGTCCAGGCTAGGCTGGAACTTGTGATCCTCCTTTCTTAGCCTCTCAGAGTGCTGGGATTACAATGTACTACTATTCCCAGATCAAAAAAGATTATTTTTAAAGTTACAAGTAAACGTAGAAAAACTTTCTAGTAGCTTTGAAATTTGTTGAGAATTTTTATTTTCTGTCTTCAAAATTATAGTGATTCAGGTTAATTCTTAGAAAATCAGTCTAAAATACACTTTTTAAACAGAAATTTTGGGGGTTTTTTTCAGAAATACTTTATAGCAAATTATTTCTAATTGAAGTCTCAGCAATAACATTTTAATATTAAAAATTATAGTCTCAGTTTGATTCCTTAAATATGAGATTGTGGTGTGAAAATTGGGGCACTTCTTTATTTTTTAAACCTTTATAATTCATTTAAAAGATTAGTTCTTATCTAAATTCCACATTAGTAGTATATAGGAAATGTTTTCTTTTATAAGTCTGAATTTTGCTCATTTTTTCATGGTCTGAATCTAATGTATATATGTATGTGTGTATGTATGTATATACGTAAATACATGTTTACACACCCATATGTACACACGGAGCAATACATACATACAAATATGTCTGTAATTTATTTATTTATTTATTTATTTTCAAGACTTTTAGTCCTGATGGTCGTTGGTTAATAAGTGCTGCAATGGATTGCTGTATTAGGATTTGGGACCTTCCGTCTGGGTGGTAAGTTTATTTTTCAATCCCTAAGATGATTTTTCATTGTCCTTTTTTTTTTTTTTTTTTTTTTTTTAATCAGTACCAGGGCTCGAACTCATAACTGCCTGCTTTCAAGGCAGGCGCTTATGCTGCTGAGCTAAATCCCCAGCCCCAATTTTTTATTGTCTTAACATGTAACTTTTACTTAAAATTAATGAGTTGTGTAGTTAAGGAATGTGAAATGCACTTGGGAATTTTCTAATGTGATTGTCTTACCTTTAGAGTGTTTCTAAACAATAGCATCATGAAATATAATAGAAAAACAGATTTAGAAGTGAGTTGTATAAATTTTAAGAAAGCTCATTTGACCTTAGTGCTTCAGAATAGAGCTCAAACTCTAGGACGGCACACTTTATATTTGAAGGCTTTTAAAACTTAGTACTAAATTTAATTAAAACATCAAAAATCTGCGTTTTTCCTTTTATGTGTTACATATCTCTGTCAGTAGCATAGATAATGTCAGAAAGCTGTTTCATGGAGTGAAACTTGCTACTGATCCAGCAGTTTCTCAGGAATTAGATAACCTCATATGTAAAAGCAATCTGACCTTTAGAACGGGAAAACCCTGATGTTCTCATTTCCCTTCAACTTTGCTATGGGCATGAGGTACACCTACCTATCCAGCATATAAGAGTACCATTAGTGAATCCAGCTCTGATAAGCAGGGACTGTCCACAGGTGTGTCTTTTTCACATGAAATGGAGTAAAGCAAAATCTAGTTAGCTGTGCCCTCTAGTTCCACAGAGCTTACCAAAGTTGATATTTCCTAAATTAGCAAAACTTTTTTCAAAGACATTGTTGGAAAAATTTGTGCCCTATTGCTTCTTGGTCTTCTGCTATTTTCTGAAAATGAACATTATGTAATTTGAATAAAAGTTAGAAATTGTGACAAGTAATAAAGTTAAAATAGTGCGATTTTCATTTTCCTTTTTGTTGTGTTGGTTCACATGAGCTGAGAGAAATCAGTTACATTCAGCAATATTAAGCTAGCAAAGTATGTTTTAAAAGTGGAAAGCTTATCTTTGGAATGAAAGAATTAAGAGTCGGAAAGTACTATTCAAAGCTATGAAACTGATTCAGCATTAACTCTTACTGAATTTCTTATTTCAGTACAAAGTCAAACATTTAAATCTGAAAGGTTTTTAGCACTAGTATCTTATTTTTAGGCAAAAACATGACACTTAAGATTGATAGACAGGTGTGAAGTCTGGTGCAACAGAAGATCAAGAAATAAGCCACATGAGAATGTTAAAAGAAAATGTAGAATAACACTGAACAAAAGTACATTTTTACTTAAAAATAGTTCTTTGGTTAAGATTTGAAAAGAGCAAATGAGAAAGCTTAAAAGCAATATCAAACAACTAATTCTGCTTAATAGCAACTAAACTAACATTTACCAACGGCTGCTAGGTACTTTATATGCTTTTATTTTTGCTTATCTTAAAAGTTAGTACTGTTGGGGCTGGGGATTTAGCTTAGCGGCATAAGCACTTGCCTTGCAAGCAGGCAGTCATGAGTTCAATCCCCGGTACCGATAAAAAAAAAAAAAAAAAAAAAAAATGTTAATACTGTTACTCTTAATTACTAGTTCCATTTCACAAGTAAGGAAATAAAAGCTTAGAAATTAAGTGATTTGTCCACAAAGACTTAGTTAATAAATAGTAGAACAACAACAACAAGAGTAGAACAACAACAGCAAAAATACAAGAGAAAGAAGTGTTTCCTAATAATTATGGTATAATCTTTGCTCAACTTGTATCATACATTGTAAGAGTGGTCTGATTTTCTTACTGTAGAAGACAAATAATAAGAAGCAAGATGTAGTGTTTTGTCATACAGCCCTAAGTAACTGTTGGGATATTTTTTTTTTTTTTAACTTCCCTCTTAAATATAATTGAGATGGCAATCTTTGGAAATTCCTAGACCTCCTTCAGTAAACATTTTCATCATTTACATAGCATGTTGAATACTGAAAGAATGAATATATTCATTATATAACCTAAAATGAAGCAATGAGTAAACCTTTGAATGTGGCAACTTATAAGTACATCCATCTGGAATTGTACCTAAAATAAATTGCATAGGCATAGAACTGCTTCCTGTAGAATTTTTTTAAATACTGAAAATTTTTTGTTTGTACACTTCTCAGAGAAACAGTTGAAATTTTTTATCCATCATTTACTGCCTAGCACCAGCATCATTACCACCAGTTTTTATTTCTATTGGGTATTTGTTGTTGTTTTACCTATTGGAAATTCAGGTTGAACTCTCTGGGAGAAGGAAAATAGTACATAAAACTATGGAGTTTTATGAAAGGATTTTGCATTTTGTTTCATATTCTCCTCCCCATCTTTTCTGAGGACCATTAACATCTAAAGAGTTGGAATAAAACATTGTTATACATTTCTCACTGAATCATAAATCACCCTTATATTGATTCTATCATCTTAGAGACAGAATATGCATATATTTTATTATTTTTCCAGAAAAATGCAGGACTCCAGTCTTGAAAATCTGATTACTTGAATTGGGCATATGGTTTCAGAAAAAATGTATAACATAGGTGGAACTTTTCATATTATAGGGCTATCAGGAGACTGTAAGTACTTTTAGTAAGTCTGGGATTAAGGCTGCACACTTAACATGAACTAGCACAACACTGTAAAGTAAAATATGCTGTGTGTGTGGTAAGTGTCTTCCTGAATTTGATGCTTTAACAGAAAGGAAAACCAGTCTACCCACACAGCACAGCTGTAAAAATGAAATCGCACAGTGAAATGGACAAAAAAAAATTATAGTATATAATAAAAGGAATTTGCTAAAGCAGTAAAATCATTTTTTAACAAGTAGATTCTAAACATGTTAGGAAGTTTCACCTTCATATACTGCAACTGTAGCAAAATAATATTGATCAATTCAAAGAGAAAATTAGCAAGATGCGAAATTTCTGTTTTAGTTTAGTTTTTATTTGTATACACTGGGATAGTATCTTCTGCTCTAGGTAGTTGGATTAAATGAATTAACATAAGTAATTTATAGTCTCTGATGATAATGTGCTTAGCAAATGTGTCCTTTTCCCTCATTCCCTAGATTCCTAAGAAGAGCTATTCTTGTGAGCTTCCAAAATAAGCCTGAGCAAAAAATAAGACAGCTTATTACTGCCCTTTTCCACCACAACCAGGAATTGTTTTTATCCTTAACACAACGTGGGCATTTGTTTCCAGTACTCCTAATATTAGCATTTTTCCCACCTTGTATTCATTAATGAAGATTTATATTTCTAATGGTTCTTTTAGCAAATTGAGAGAGATAATCTTATTATTGCCAGGTCACTTAATGCCTCTACCAGAGAACTTTTTACATTTGAGATGTTCAACATGTTCTATTGAATCAGCAGTGTAAACACACCTTATTTGTACATGTTACCACACTGTGTGCTGTGTCTTTAGTTTCAGTAGTGATTTTACTAGTGTTAAAGGTGGTTAAAAGTGCAGACTGCTTGGGTTCAAATGTTGACACAGTTACTTTCTCCCTAGCAAATTTTGAGTTTTCTGATCTGTATAGGGAGGATAGATCTGCCTCTAAGTTGTAAAGATTAGGTTAATCAGTACATGCCAGTGCTATAGATAATTCCCAAGATAGAACACTGAAAGTCATGGTAGCTATTGTTGTCTGGTTCTTCCAGTAATTTGTATTACTTAGTGTAGATCCTGAAATTCAGTTGTTCACTTATGTCTGTCAATGGATAATTATTGTCCTCAGTAAATAAGGTTTTTTTTTTTTTTTTAATAAGCTCTTTAAAACTAGTATAATCTTGTAAAAATATTCTTGCTTTTGTTAATCGGTCTTAGAAATCTTCCTGGTATGATGAGAATTTGTGTAGATCTTTCTCTTTGATCCTTAAGTCTGCCTGATTTCACTTCCAGTGACTGTCATCTTAGATTGGTGTTGTTAAACGATTACTAGCAAAGTCTCACTGTTCCTCCTGATCAAGTATATTTTGTGTCCTGTTGGGAAGTTGTGTTATGAAAGTAAAGTTTATAGCACAATCTGCTCAAAAATCTTTACTAGGTTACTATCATTTTTGAGCTAACAACTCAGATATTTGGTGTTCAAGACTAAATAAACAGTCTTACACTCCTGCTTAATGGTTCCACCCAACTGTTACTCCTCACCATACACCTAAATGTATTTTTTCTTACTTCACTATCCATATTTTTCTTAGCCAGGAAGTGCCTTCTCTGCTTTTAGTATCCTTTGAAATCCTCCTGTTATTAAGGCACAGCTCAAACTTCCTATTCTGCCTGAGGCCTCTCTACATCTCTTTACTTGTATGTGATTACTCCTTTTTTTCTCTCCAGCTTTCAGACTCCTTTAACAATTTGGGTGGTGGGTGGAGATATTGAACTCAGGGCCTTTGCAGTGAGCAGTATTCCAACTCTTTATTTATGTTGTTTTTATTTTTATGTTGAGACATTGTCTTCTAAGTAAGTTACCTGGGCTGGGCTGAAGTTTGAGATCCTCTTGTCGCAGCCTCTCAGAGTGCTGTGCTTGTGGGCATGTACCACTCGGGGGTCAATCCCATATTTTAAAACTGTCAGACTAGTTTCCTTAAGTTATGTTCTGATTGATTGATCTCTAAATACTTAATGTACATGTTTTTCATGTATAACTTAGTTATCTATTTGGAAAACTGTTGCTCAAAATTTTTTTCCATTCTGTTACCATTCTCTAGAGCTATTTTGTGTTATTACAGTCTTCTGTTATCGCAGTTTTTTTTTTGTTGTTGTTGTTGTCACTGGAATAACTACTTGTGTTTATGTAGAATGTATGATGTTTTTAAAATTGCCCCAAGTCAGGATTAGACAAACAATCCATTTCACCTATATTCTCTCTGCTTACTTCTTATTTAGTTAATTGGACCATTTTATTGTTTTGGGTCTTTCTTGTTAAAAGAGGTCATTTTTACATGGTAACTTAGTTGACAAAGATGATCTTTCGCAATGACTTTCTGCCTGTATTTTTAAAAAATCACACACAAATTTCTGTATCTTATACCCTGTTCTTCCAGTAAAAATATTTTTTTGTGAATTTATTTATTTTTTTTAGTAAAGTATGAGTACTTTAACACCTTAATGTCTTTTATAGCCTTATAGACTGCTTTTTGTTGGATTCAGCGCCTCTCAATGTGACTATGTCCCCTACTGGAGACTTTCTAGCAACTTCCCATGTGGACCACCTTGGAATTTATCTATGGTGAGTTATTTCACACATTGCTTAGGAAGAAGATGATGATGATGATGATGACAGTGCTTCCGTCAGAGAATCATGGTGGTTAAAATTACTATTCAGTTAAAAAATACAGTGGATATTTCCCATACAGTGGCATCTCAGTTACCCCCATGGCTCCAAGCTCGAACTTTCCACTACTGTAACAGCAAAGTTTGAAATAAATCTGTTGGTGTTTGAACTTTGCTTGATAGTCAACTAAAAATCCAACTTGAAGAAACCTGTACAGCCTAAGAATGAGTCATATGTTGTGTCTCACAGGTGATGCTTCAGTGCCATCTCTACTGCAGCCTAGACAACATACAGTATTGGTGTTACTGTGATAAAATGTTGTAATTGTGCTTTTTTTTTGTTTTATTTGCATAAAATAATGTAATCATAGCCCCAAAGAAAGTTAGTGATACCAGTAATAAAGCTAGAGAAAAATACTGAAAACGAAGATAGAGTTAAAGAAAAAAAAATCCTTGTAAAATTCGTTAAAGTCATGAAAAATGAATTTATAAGTATAATTTTGAGATCTCCTTTCAAAACCCATAATTTGGTTTTCCTTTGTTCTCTTATGGGAAAAATATGCTCAATTCTTAGACTTTTTAGTATTCAAACACAAATTTGGAACAAATTGAGTTCAACAATTGAGGTATCACTATAGTTGACACAGGTAGTTAATATACTGTAAATCTATGACTAATTCAACATCTGTTTGATTATGTGTATGCTTTGCTTATGTGTGTATTCTAAACTGCATGATTGATTTTTATCTGTTATCATATTTGACTTCTTTTTGCAGAAATGATAAGTAAATTGTAAAAGCCAGCCAGGCCTTTAATGTCTCTTATAGTTATCCCAACGCTGCTGTATGACCTTGGCATCCCTTCTGAACTTTAGCCTGCTTTATAAAATAAGACCTAGGGCAGGGTGTGGGCCTGTGCTCCCACCAGACCCGAAACTGGCTGGTCTGGTGGCTTGCTAGAAGGGGTTGGATGGGCCACACTAGCTAACTGGGAAGGAACTGACTCTCCTGATCATGGGGCTTTTTGGGCCCTAGCACAATCAGTGTCAGAGTCTACCATAAACATAAAGGAAATTGATGATGTGTATGGAGAATATAAGAAAATTCAAACCAGAAAAAACACCTACAGCAGCGTCTCTAGGGAGCACTGATAGTCAAGAATTGAGAGATGAAAACATTCAGATTGTTACACAAATGCACAAATTGATAATAAATTGAGCAAGACAAATGCATTCACAGTGTTTCCAAGAGCCTGCTGAAAATGAACAAATCTCAGATAAGGCAAAGATGGATTCTGCCCAACCAGAAAGTTCTTCGAGAAGACCTGCTGATAGCTAACCAGTGAAAGCTGTGATTTATGTCACATGATAAATGAGGTTGAAGACTATGTGATCAGCCACCGAAAGAAAAGAAATCTAAGTCAGCCAAGAAAAAGAAACTCTATAAGGTCAAAAAAGAAAGAGAAGCTTGCCAGGAATTTAGCTCAGTGGCATAAGTGCCTGCCTAGCAAGCATGAAGTCGTGAGTTTGATCCCAGGTAACAAAACAAAATTTAAAAAATACGTAATGTGGAAGAAAAAGAAGCTTCACCTGTTGGGTTTACAGTAGATCCCATGTACTGTTTATATAACCAAGTGTCTTACGGAGAAATGAAAGAATGACAATGAACAGTATCCAATTGAATGTTCTCACTTTTTGTGTGTTTCACTTACATATAAACCAAAGGGCAAATGGTGTTACCCAAAATGCAGGGGAGATAATGAGAAAACAGTGGACAAAAGTACTGAAAAGACAAAAAAAGACAGAAGATTGAGATAATAAAGGCCATCCATATTTTAAAGGGTTGTCTTTTATATAATTCATTTCCTTTCAGAAAATGTTTTAGGATAAATGCATAAGACTGATAATTTTTAATCATTAGTATTAATGGTGTATTAAAAGTTGTTCTTTATTTGTGATCTTAATTTTCTGGACTGAATTATCAAGTATTTTAAACCAGGTAGTCTTCAGGTTAGCTGATGAAATGAGCAGTAAACAAGGAGAGAATGGTATGGACATTATGAAAACGTCACAAACTATTCCTGTTTCATCTTTACTTAAAACTCTTTTGAGTAAACACAAAAATTTCACTACCATTTTTGTCTGTGTGCATAAAAATTGAGATATACTTCGATTTCTCTATAAACATCAATCTTGGGTAATTTAAAATATGTACTATTCTATTTAAAGCTTCTTTTTCTCAAGCCCCGTTTATACCTTGTTAATCTCTAGTCCTGTAAAAATTTGAGAAGTTAGAGGTAAGAATTATTTGGGATTTCATGTGAAATAACGTGTTCCTAGTAGAGAATTTGCTGCTGTATTTTCCTTGGTAGCAGTTTGATACATGGTCTGTAGCCCATTTGTAAGTGCTTTGCTGCTTCTTAAAAATAGATACACTTAATCTAGTGTTTATTAGAATAAATGAATAAAATATGCATGTGAATAAAAAATAACAAATAAAATATAACAATGTGAAGATACGTGTAGCAATTTTTAAGCTGTTATTTGAACCTTTAAGGAACTGTGATCCCTCAAAATGAAAGCTAAATAACCTGGGTCTAGAAAAGTTTTTATCTGCTTGCTGAGTTTGTATATCTATTGAGGAAGGGAAAGTGATTCTTTTTCCAATTGTAAAAATGTTATATTTAAAATATACTTTAAAAATTTACTTTAAAAATAAATACATAAAAAATCAACTTTAGCCAACTTGATAAGTAAAATGGGGAAATCTTTTAAAATCAGTGAAATGCTGGGGATTTAGCTCAGCAGCATGATTGCCTGCCTGGCAAGTGTTAGGTCATAAGTTCGATTCCCAGTACCAAAATAAATAAATAAATGAAATCAATGAAACTTCAGTGATTAAAATAGGAGAAAAATAGCTTGGGACCTCTGCAGCAGGAATATGGAGCTCCCCTGCATAATACCGTGAATATCACTCAAGATTAGAGATACCTAATTTTTATTTTCCATTCAAGATTCATAATGGGTAAGGAAAAGAATATGTCTGTTTTGGGAATGGTGTCTATATTTTTATTACTCATCCATGAACATGAAGGATCAAGTAAGAAACAGCCACTTAGTAAGTCATTTCTAGAAAAGGGGAATCCATGACTAGTCAGTATCCCCAAGAACATAAACAGTATATTCAGTCTCTGAATCCATCTTTCGTTATTATTTACTTAAGCCAAGGTTGATGTTGTTAAAACAAGACGTAGAAGTTATTTTACCTTATGAAAGCATAATTTGGTTTTATCCCTCTTACCCATATTTTTGTACTACATTAGTAACATTCCATTCATGTTTTTACACTGTTTTCTTGAGACAATATCTATGACATAAAGGCATTTCAGGTTAATGCGATCTGTCTTTTTGATCTTTTTCTAACTAGTTAGTGCAATGTGGTCAAAAGCGAAATTGTGATTGTTAGCAGTTGTTGAAGTTTCTCTGAAGTAATTATTTTTAAACTTTTAAAATATTCTTTCATTTTGATTTCTCAGGTCCAATATTTCCCTGTATTCAGTTGTCTCATTACGACCACTTCCTACAGATTATGTTCCATCAGTAGTTATGCTTCCTGGTACTTGTCATACCCAAGGTAATCACAAAATAGCAAAACAATTGTTGAGGTATAATATTGTAAGTCTAATTTAATGGCTATTGGTACAGAAGGCAAAGTTTATTGCATTCAATTAGAGTTTTTGTGTAAGTGAAATTAAATACTTTGACTTCAGTTTATATAAAAATATAATGGATATCATATCTGTATCAAATAATATACTGGTGTAAAAGTATTTTGGATCTGATGGTAAAAGTTACAGTTAACATGAGAAAGTAAGAAAAAGAAGCACAAGCAAAGAAAGTAAATATTAACAGTGTATAAGCTGTATAGAGGGGACATGTTATAAAATTTAAACAGATTTGAGTTGAATTAAGTTGCTTTTTTATATGATAAAATTTCATTTTGCATTAATTTATCTGAATTTTTTTTTTAAGATATGGAAGTATCAGAAGAAAATACGGAGCCAAGTGATGAAATGATAGAGTATAATTCACCAGAACAGTTGAGTGAGGAGTTAGTCACTCTGTCACTTCTCCCTGAATCACGGTGGAAAAACCTTCTTCATCTTGATGTCATTAAGGTAATATTTAGAGTACACACAATAGTGAGCTTTAAACACACCTTCTTTAATCATTTTTTTTTTAACCAGAGGCCATTAGGAGAGGCAGTGTCTCAGCAGACACAATGGTATTTAATTGCATGTATTTCATTTAGTATGGTTTGCATAAAGATATTCTCCATCAGTTTTGAGAGTACTCTGCAGATGTGTATGTGGCAGAAGTACAGTCTTCGACTACAGTGTAGATCTTTTAAAAATTACATTTTTTTAAGTCCAGTTTGATAAATTACTTTGTGAACTTCTAAAATAAGAAGGCAAAAAATCCTACCCTAATGTATTTTCTTGCTACATGTTTGAGGATTAAGAAAATGTCATTAGTTTTTTGTTTGATTTTGTGTGCATGTGTGTGTATGGTAGGCTGCAGTTAATTTTCATTAGCTGCTTATCTCTCTGTGAACTGTAAAAGGATTTTTAGAGCTTGTTGTATAGATCAGGTACATAAGTTTAATGTACAAATACCAGAGAATGTACAGTTTCTCACTGTATATGGCAGTGAAAAACAAACTAAGTCCCTTGGTTTTCAAAGAATTGTAAGTTTTACATGAACAGTGGTCATCTGTGTACAAATTAGTGTTTTCAGGAGCCTAATTTGTGAGTATAAAAAGCAATTGAATTACTAGCGTAGAAATTTTCAAGCTGTCTTTTGATAACAAGTGTTGTTTTGTGAAACTTGATATGGTTGGATATATGCATAAACATTCATTAAAACTTGTAATAAATAGTATTGCAGGCTACAATAACGTGTATTTATTGAAACTAAATTCTTGCCAGGGACTCTTGCCAGCTCAGTGGCATAATGCACCTGCCTAACAAGCACAAGGTTTTGAGTTCAATCCCTAGTACCAAAAAATAAAAAAAAAAAAAATCAAAAAACCAAACCAAATTCTTCCATCAGGAATTCCAGTAGAATTTTACTAATACTGGAAATATTTTATAAAAATAAAAATTTTAAGAAAATTGAACAATTAGTGTTGCACTTCACAAAAATACACCAAATTTCTTCTAATACAGGGTGTTTCCATCTGGTTCCAATTTTTTTTTTATTTTTAAGAACAATAGTTTGATCACCATTCTATGTAGAAATCTTTCTGTTGCCACTTGGTTTCCAAGGTTGTATTCAGTACAAAAGGTCATTTCAGGAAGATAAAAATTGTCATCGAGCTGTTCTGCACTCAAGAGTTTCCAGCTGCCTTCCTCAGCAAGGATACTGGAGGCATGAGGTCTGCATTGTGGAGCTGGGGTTAGGAATGGCTATGGTCAAGTGGATTTTATTTTGACAGTCTAATCTGGATAAGTTTGATCCCTTTTAACTTCTTGGTATTTGTTTTAGATTTTATTTGGAATTAAGAATTGTTAAGATAATTACTAGTCTTTTTTTCATTTCATTTTCTCTTAATCAGAAAAAGAATAAGCCAAAGGAACCTCCTAAAGTTCCCAAATCAGCACCATTTTTTATTCCAACAGTTCCTGGTCTTGTGCCTAGATACGCTGCACCTGAACAAAATAAAGATTCCCAACAGGTAAGAACCAAATTGGAGTGTTATATTTGGGATTTGTGTCTGCATATATTTTGTATAGTTCTTTACCAAGACCCAGTTTTGCAAATGTAAATAATGATAGCTTATAATTACAAGCTATGTGTATTTGATGACACATTCTTTTAATAATGTATATTTGTTTTTGTTTAGTCTAAGGTGGTTAACCTTGGGATTCTGGCTCAAAAATCAGATTTCTGTTTGAAACTTGAAGAAGGATTGCTAAATAATAATTGTAAGTTAAACTATATCTTAATACATATATAGCCTGTTTTACTTAACATGAAGAAAAGTTGAAGGGAATACCAGATTTTTTAACTAAAAAGAGGTTAGTAAAAGCAAAGGATGAAAATTTTGGTTTTAATCTGAACTAATTGTAGCTTTTAAATTACATTGTATTAAAAGAGTGACACAAAACTCAGATGATAACAGTATAATAGTTTCTTGAAAACTTTTCACATTTTCTGTACGAAAAGTTAATTTTTTCTTATTTTGCAATTTGGAGATGAATACATTTATTGGCAGTGTTTATAATAAAGAGGTCCTTAATGTACATTAAATGTAAAAGTTTTGTTGTCTCTGGTAATTTGCATACCTTTTCTTTACAAATTTGTTACAACAAAGACTTTTTTCATAGATTGTTTCATATATTTGTAAAGTATCCTATAGAAATTTTTTAATATATTTAAGTATATTAATATATTTAAATGAAGTGATTGTGAGTAATATGTGGAATTTATAAAAAATTTAATACAGATGAGACTGCTCTCAACCTCCTAAAAGAATTAGGCCCCTCAGGAATTGAAACAGAGCTACGAAATTTGTCTCCTGATGGTGGTGGCTCTGTAGAAGTTATGCAGAGTTTCTTGAAAATGATTGCAATGATGTTGGAAAGGAAGCGTGATTTTGAGTTAGCCCAGGCATACCTTGCATTGTTTCTAAAGGTAAGTAAGTCTAAGATATTTCTACTTTTTCTCCTCAAAAGCAGTATTGTCTAATAGAATTTTTCATAAAGATGAGAATGTTTATATCCATAGTGTCCAATGTGATCACTACTTCTCTTATGTAACTCTTAAATACTTGAATGTGGCCATTGTGACTGAGAAACTGAATTTAATTTTACCTAAGGTGTCAGTAGTTACATGTGGCTGGTAACTACCACATTGGAGTAGTTGGACTGTGCAGCTTTATAGGTTTTATAACAGCACCAAAATTTAAACTGTGCTCCTTGATTTTCCTATTACCTATCTGCTCCAATGTGTTGATCCACTAACTTTTTTTTAAAGTAGTTGTATTTTGTAAAAGTTTCTGTGATCACAAAGAGAAAGCCAGGCTTTATGGAATTTTTTTCTACTGCTGCAATCAAAATACTTATCTCTATCAGAGTTGGATTTTAAAGTGATTTGGCACAAGATAGTTGCTTTTGTGAGTAACATAATAGTGAAATCATGTTTTGAATATCTGTCTTTCTTTAGTCTATTAATAGTTAAAATGTTTTCACTCAATCTGATTACTTAATTACTTAAAAACTAGATACTTAAACAAAGTGGCCCAATGTATTAAAAGGTACAGGTATATCTTTTCCCACATGTACTATGTTTTAGTCACTTCATTTGAACTTACTTAAAAACCTTTGGGAAATAAAGCAAACATTTCATCTATCCACCGTTCATTACCAGTTGGTTACACTGAAAGGAGAATTTATAGAAGCATAGAAATGTGGAATTTATATTAGAACTGGGACTTCGAATTGAGGGGCATAGCTCAGTGGTAAGTGTGAGGTTTTATCCCCAATACCATCAAAAAATGAAAACAAACAAAAACCCACAAAAAACAAATCTAGAACCTTGTTTCAGGACTTTGAAATGGGGGAGAAAAATGATGAAAGTTTCTAGGAGGGGGAAAGTGGAGATAGTTACAAACCGCATATAGTGGTACATGTCTGCAATCCCAGCATTTGAGAAGCTGAGTCAGGAGGATCATCACAAATTCAAGGCCAGCTTGGACTACATAGCAAGACCGAATCAAAAAAAAAAAAAAAAAAAAAAATGTAAATACACCAGTATATAAGATATTTAGATAGCATTTTTTCAGTTTCCTTCAAAGGAAAATGAATACAAAGGTAAAACTTTAGTTTTATTGAATAAAATATCCTACTTTCTTTTCAGTTACATCTTAAAATGCTTCCTTCAGAACCAATACTTCTAGAAGAAATGACAAAATTATTATCACAAGTGGAAGAAAATTGGATTCATTTACAGTCTCTCTTCAATCAAAGCATGAGTGTTCTAAATTATATCAAAAGTGCTTTGTTATAAACTTAAGTGATTAAAGAAATCAAAGACTTACATTAAATGGGTTCTGTTTAACTCATCTTTGTTTTCCAGGTTCAGTGTGAAAAATGCTGACACTACTTACCTAGTTAGTAATTTATTCCTTTAAATCTTAATCCTTCCTTGAAATAAAATTATACCTGCCTTTTGTTTTAAAGACCTAAGCAGTCTATTCATAACCTACTTTGACTCTTTTCAAAGTAGTTACTTATGTATAAATTTTTTATTGTTATTACCAGCACATGTTTGTGGGTTTATCACATGAAAGAGATGGCTGCATGTTTATTGTAAGCTAGTGCTGAACTTTATTGAAGAAACAGGTAAAACAGATCTACAGTATTATAAAAAATACCTTTTTGTGTGAAGATAACAGATTCCATCATGATTTTAGATGAAGATAACTGACAGGTGCATCAGATGTCTTCTAGTACACCCTTGTTTGCAGAAGAGTTAAGGTGAGGTTAGCTGGAATCTCAGAGATGAGCTAACTTTCTAATACAGGCCTACTGTTCTCTCCATCGTTGTTTTCTGAACGAAATTGTTCTTGAATCAGAAATGTGAGAGGTGCTTGCCCACCTGAGGCAGATTGTGTTGGAAAAGGCTGAACAGATAGATACCTAGGACATCAAAGGGGAATACCAAATTTCTTTGAAGGTTGTCCTTCACAGGTTTTTCTTTCTTCACTAATGACTTTGAGAGGAAACTGCTGGCTGTACCTTTCTCTCACAGGTGTTGTGAAATACAGTAGCTCTGGAAGTTTCCTCTTTCCTCATCATCGTTTTCTTTTTTATGGTCCAATTCTTTAGCAATTTGTAAATGAAAAATAAACATTTATTTAAGTAGTTTTTGAAAATACGGAGTACTATTTTTAGTTTTTATACTCAAAAGTAGCGTTGCTCTTAAAATGGAGCTGGCTAGATTTGATCATCGATAACACTCTTGATGAATTTAAAAGAATTTAAAAATAATTTACAGAAAGCAGACATTAAAAGGAGTTGATAAATGAGAAATTTAATATTAAATTATTTTTCTTAATAATATTTGATAGAATTATTTAACTGAGGAAATAAACCAGTCTGGCTTTGTATACATTTACTTTTCTCCTGAAAACGTATGTCAGTTTATTAAGCCACTGATTGAAATATTAGTAACATTTTAAATTCTGACCTTAAAAACTGTGCTATATTTTCCTTTGTCTCAAATACAGTAAAAGCAAAAATTCAGTATGTAATCATGAAACTTGTAAAGACTGTAAATAGCACAACATAAGAACTTGAACTGAAATTGTATTCCTTTTATAAATTATGAACTGAATTTTCTTGTCTTGCAAATGAATACAGAGTTTAAAATGTTATTTTTATTGGCAATATTATTAGGAACTGTTTCTACATTATTAGCAGGTATCCCTTCCAGAGCATTTCTTATGTGTTTGCCATCAAGGGACAGAGCACCAGAGAGAAATACATAAAAGTATAATTGTGTGTCTGTTTTTCCTAAAATGTCAGTTTATGCATCCGGCTTCCCCTTAAGTTAAATTACACATGTAATGTGACTAATTTTGCTTTTAAAGGTATCAGTCACATCTTTTGACAATTGAAATACATATCAGTCATCATACATAGTTGCAAGAAATAAATGTGTAGTTATTTTTACCCAAAGATGTTTCTCATTCTGTTTACTTTTCCTACTTGTTTTGCATTCCATTGACGTTTAACTAATCTACTTTCTCATTGTATCTCTTTTGCTTATAGTAGATTCTTTGCTTATAGTAGCTTATAGTAGTTCGCTTATAGTAGACTTTTTTTTTTTTTTTTTTTTTTTGTTCTCCTCTAATTGTAAACAGTGCTGAAGTGAACATCATCTTGTATGGGTCTTCATGTGCTAGTATTTATGTTTAGGGTTTGAATTGCTTGGCCAGAAGATGAGCAGTTTTAATTTAAAGAGATACTTTTAGGGGCTGGGGATTTAGCTCAGCGGCATAAGCGCCTGCCTTACAAGCAGGCAGTCGTGAGTTCGATCCCCGGTACCGATAAAAAGGAAAAAGACAAAAAAAAAAAAAAAAAAAGAGATACTTTTAGCTGGCTTCCAAAGTGGCTATATCAGTATATAGCTTCCCTCAACAAAAAATGAGTACCTGTTTTGTCATGTAACAGACAGTTGAATTAGATCTTTGTAATTTGTATTAATCTAATATGTGAAAAAATACTGTATTCTGACACTGGTAAAGGTAGGCGTCTCTTTATTTCTAACACTGGTATGGGTAGGCATCTCTTTATATATTTTAGGTTATTCATGTTTCTTTGTGAATTTTCTTCTAATTGCTCATTTTTCTGTTCAATAATTTGTCTTTTTAATTCATGGATTTTAAAGTTTCGTACATCTTAAGATACAGATCTTTTGTATCTATTGTGAATGTTTCTCCCAGTCAGAAGCTTGTCTGACTTAATAGTTTCTTTTTATAGATGTTTTATATTTTTATAGTCACATTGAGTTTTCTTATTACAAGATATAATGTAAATCCTCTGTTTTCTAAGATATTTATCATGTGTTTATATGTGTTCATTTCATGGTTATTTGTATTTTCTAAGATGAACATCTGAGTAGTTAATGCCTATATCTGTATGTGTAATTGATTTATATAAAGAAGGTAAGCCATAGACCTGCCTTTATGCAAAAGTCTATTCAAAACTCGTTTCTTGGAAAGTTCTTTTTGTCTCTACTGTGAAATGCTACTTCATAATGTACTAAATTATTTTATTGAATTGTTTGATATTTCTAATAAATAGTGTATTTGTTTGATTGTAGTTTGTTACACTCTCAGATTTGGTGGGGTAGACCATCCCTGATGTTTTTCAGCAATTTCTTAGCTACTGAGTGAGCTTGTCTTCTCAAAGTCTGATTTCTTGTTTCACTCAATTTGTAGAACTGATTTGCAGCAAAGTGCTCTACTGAGTATTATGTAAGAGTAATATTTATCTTTAAATCATATCATTTATAGGCAGTATTCTCTTAGTTTCACAGTTTTTTATGTATATGATCATACATTTTAGGCAGATTTATTATACAGATTATATTTTGTTGGATATCATACATTTTATAAATTGATATAAATATTGTAGGAAAGTAGCTTGATATTTATTGCTAATTATTCTGCCACTGCAGAAGTTTTCTTTCAAAATTTTATCAGTATGTCTCTTATTAAGGATCCCTTGAATTTATGTTAAATTCAATTTTGTTTCTAATACTTCTTTAAAAGTTAACGTCATGAATTTTTTGTTAAATGGTTTTTCAGCTTTTGTATTTAAGAATCGAATCAAGTCTTTAAATGGCAAAGATGGGCACAATGGCCAACACCTATAATTCAGGCTCCCCAGAAGGCTGAGGCAGGAGGATTGCTAGTTTAAGGCTGGCTTAAGCAACACAGCAAGGCCTCATCACACACACAGAAAAGCTCCTATACATAAATTTTGCTGAATGTACTGGCACATGTCTATAATCACAGCTTCTTGAGAGGCTTAACTTGAATAGTAATAAGGGGTAACTCAGTGGTATAGTGCATGTTTGGCATACACAGGACTCTGACTTTGATCCCCAGTAACTACAAAAAATTCTTTAATTGGTATAATGTATATACTGGCATAATACAATGGGTTTTAAATAAATATTTCTCAGAGTGAATCATATTTCATCCATGGAATAGAACTCTAAATAAGATGAGCCAGGTCATTTGTCATTTCATAGAATTAGCTTTCTTTGGTTTTTTTTTTTCAGCTTTCTTTGACTTAAAAAAATTTCTTGGTCTATTTAAACAAAAAGAACCTTGCACATATTACGTTGTTTGTTTTTCTATTTAACTCTGTAATTACTTAGTATTGAGTTTTCTTCCTCTTCTCAAGCCATATTGGTAAAATATATAGGTAAAGTATACCTTTTGGTTAATTGCTTGGTTACAAGTGACAGAGCCCCACTCAAAGTTCAGGGGAAAATGGGCCTTAACCTACTTATAAAAATTCCTTGGCAATCGGTCAGCTCCACCACTTCGTTCTTTGGCTTTCTCATTCTTGGCCAAATGCTCAATGGAGATCCATCTGATACTTTTTAAAGAATCTCTTATGTGCCAGAATTTCTTTTAGAGTTGCAGTTATATTTTAATAATCAAACATTAAGGCAGGGCTAGAAATTTGACTCAGTGGCTTAAGCTCCTACCTATCAGACATAAGGTCGTGAGTTCAATTCCTAGTACCAAAAAAACAAAACAAAACAAACATTAAGGCAACACAGCTGCTAACAGTTTTGAATTTATATATTCTTCTTACACTAATTAGAAAATGACTGTCTTTAAGTCCTAAAATAAAATCTCAGTGAACCTATTTTGATCCAGTCACTATAAACATAGTGGACTTGTGCTTTGATTAGCTAGGCCTAGGTCATATGAAACCTGAAAATGGAATGGAGACAACCATAAAAAACCTTATGGATTAGAAAAGGAAAGTAGCTACCTGAAGAAATGGGCTTTGTTATTAGATATAAAGGTAAGGCATCAAAACTACTAGATTTACCTCTGTCTAAAATGGTAAATCTTACTGGAGAATTAATAGTATACAAAAATCTGGGGAAGCATTTTTAAAACTTGCATTTGAAAGTTCTACATTTTTAAAGTTCTTTTTTTTTAAATTCTCTTAAGGATAGACAAAGTAAAATACATGCTTATGTATTAAATAGCTAAATTAGCATATAGTCAAATCAAAGTATACAGGTCTTAGGATAGACCAAGGCATTGAGACAAGGTTATATTAATGTAATTGCCTGCAAGGCCAGTTTTACTATCTTTAAAATGGATTTCAATGGCAAATCACAGAACACTTTAGTGATTCCTCAAGAAGTAGAATATGAGGATATTCTTGTTAAGGGTTAGGTTGGTTTCAGAAAATTTTTGTAATGAGGGCTAAAACATTGAGAAATACGGGAAAAACTGGTATTTCTGGTTTTCTTGGGATACTATTTCATTCTTTTCAAGATAGTAAGCCACAGATGTACAGCCTCTTGTTGAAAGCTTGGATGCTAGAGGCTACAATTCTTCTCTTCCTCATACTCAATTATCTCACTTCCCTCTGTTCACAGCCTAGTGAACAAAGATCTCTTTGTTTCTGCTTCCTACCTCCATGGGTAAAACAAGGAAGGCTTTCCTACCTCATACATTCTGTTTTTACCTGTTTCATAGCCAAGGGGAGGGTGCACTTTCAGAAGATATAAAGCTGTCATGTCTTAGGAAACTATGATGCTTGTACGTGGATTTTTAACATACTACTTAACCATACAATCCTGCTCCTTCAAAAGAAAAGCCCTCACAAGCACTAGTCTCCATCCAAGGAGTCAGCAAGCCTGAAATAATCCAAGAAAAAGATCGTATGTTTGGAAAGACAAAGGGCATTTAAAGTTTTATGTTTTTGGTGACTAATATTCATCCTTTGCGGACTCTTGTTTTCTACTGTTAATATTTGGAGATCCTGCACTGCAGATTTATCTCAGTGGCATAAGCACCTGCCTAGCAGACATGAGGTCATGAGTTCGATCCCTGGTACAAAAAAAAAAAGTTGGAGATCCTGAAGTTCCAAGCCATAATCACTTTCAAAAGAATAATTGAATATAAGTGCTGTGGCCCTTCTACCACTGAGACTATGATGCTTGTTGCAAAGAAAGGGGTCACTAATGTTGATGAAAGTCATAGAAAAGTGACACCAGCATCATGTGAGGACTTGTTAGCACACATTCTTAGGTCCAGCACCAGACTTGAAAAAACCTTAGGAATGTTGTCCAACAACTTGAGTTTTAATAGGCCTCGGTGATTTGAATGTATGTTTTGTTTTTGCCAGTATAATGCTGCTTTTCATCACAGTTTTGTCATATTGTTTCACATTGAGGATTGTGATAACCCCTGCCTTGCCTTTGTTGCCTAGACTTACTTTTGTTTTTCATGTCTTTTCTGGTTCCAAATGAACTTTAGAGTTGTTTTCTCTTGTTTTGTGAGGTATACTTTTGATATTTTGGTCAGGATTGCATTAAATCTGTGTAACAATTTTGTAAGCATGACTATTTTCACCATATTGGTTCTATCCAATAAAGGTTATATTTCCATTTTCTGATATCGATCTCATTTTTCAGTGTGCTGTAGTTTTCAATGTAAAGGTCTTTTGCTTCATTAGATTGATTCCGAAATACTTCACTTTTCTTGATGCTATTGTGAAAGATATTTCCCTGATTTCCCTCTACGAGTTTGTAATGTATGTATAGTAATGTTACTGATTTTTGAATATTGACTTTGTATCTCACTGTGCTACTGAATTTGGTTATTCGACCTAGGAATTTTTTGGTAAAGGTTTTGGGATCTCCTATATAGAGTATCATGTCATCCACAAATGGTAATTTAACTTCTTTCTTTGCTATCCTTATTTTTTTCTCTTGTCTAACTGCTCTGGGTAATATTCTCAGAACTATATTGAGTAGAAGAGATGATAGAGGATATCCTTGTCTTGTTCCTGATTTTAGTGTGAAAGCTGTCAGTGTTTGACCATTTAGTATGATGTTGCCTGTTGATATCATCAGATTAAGTTACAGATATTTTATTCCCATTTTCTGTAGGATTTTTTTTTATCATGAATGGGTGTTGAACTTTGTCAAGTGCTTTTCTGCATCTATTGAAATAATTATGTGCTTTTCTGCTTGGTTTTGTTAATGTGATTTATTACTCTAGGGAGCAGCACGACCGCCCCATCGCTGCCTCCCCACCTCTCTCCTATGGGCATATGATGTACCTGCCTACATTAACCATAATCCTTTCCTGCTTATGTCACATACCCGGATGTGACGATGACCCTGCTGTATTCATCCCCGTAGCCTCTTCCAGTCCCACCAGCCCGCCCTTGGCCTATAAAAGATGTGATCACTTCCTGAATAAACGAGGCTTGATTGGACTCCTTAACTTTCTTCCATCTCTCTTTGTTTCCCCCCTGTTTCTATTTCATCCCTGTTCCCCCTCCAGGTATACCCCACGGATTGATCCACTGGCCGGATCATATTATATTTATCTATTTGTGTATGTTGAGCCACCCTTCCATCCCTCCAATGAATTGTATTTGTTCTGAGTGTATAATCATCTCAATGATTTGCTGCATTCTTTTTACCAGTGTCTTATTGAGGATTTTTGCCTATCAGTCTTAGGTTCTTTGCATCACCTAGCAGCTATTGAATAGATTTTGTGTGTGTGTGGTCCTTTGCTAGTTTAAAAAAATCTTTCCTTTGATGATCATTAACTGCAAATGTGTTTTCTAGACCTGATATTCTGTTCTCACATTGGTTGATTCTGTGATATGTACGTTCTCTATTTTTTTTTTTTTTAACTAACTGTGTCCTTTATTAGGTCACCATCCCTTTAGTTACCTGTGAGATTATTTTTTGTTTTTTCTAGGACCTCATTTTACCTGCTTTGTTACTTTCACTGCTACTATTTCAGAAAGTTCAGCTTGGTGGCGTTTGGTTTCTCTTTTTGGTTTCTACTTTCTCAGTGGCCTCTGGATTTGCCTTGGATGAGCTAAGGTTCTGGGGCAGCAGCTTCTGTATCGTCTCATTTTATATTTTTTAAAATTTGTTCTCTGCATTGATTGTAAATTGTTTGTTTATGGTATGGTATGTAGCTTTGTATGGTGTGTATGGTATGTAGCTTTTGAGTCTATCCCAAGATCCTGCTTCTTCAGTTTATTAAGGATGAGAAATTGCTGCCTATTTGGCTTAACATCCAGTTCTTTGA